GGCATACACACAGATGGGCAGGCAGACAAACAGACATACAGACAGACATACAGACAGATAGGCAGGCAGACAGACAGATAGGCAGGCAGACAGACATGCAGACAGATAGGTAGGCAGACAGACAGACAGATAGGCAGGCAGATAGACAGACATATAGGCAGACAGACAGACAAACAGATAGGCAGACACAGAGCAATAGAGAAAAGAAAATAAATAGAGCCAAGAAGAGAGAGAGAGAAAGAGAAAAGGCAAGCGAGAGACAGACAGGAATTAATAATAATATAAACCACAATAATAATACGAGAACGAGAGGGAAGGAAGGAGAAAGGGACAGCAAATAGGGAAGAAGGAGAGAGGGACGAAAGAGAAAGAAAGAGAAGAAGGAAGAGAGTAGAGAGAAACGTTCCATGAACGTGTTGTTCCGCGTGAGTGAAAATTCCTCGCCGATGACTAATTTGCATACCTTGGCGGTAAACATGTCATGGTGTAATGTCTCTCTGTCGGTTTTGATATAAATAGACTTCTTTTTATATCTGAGGAATTTGACTTTTTAATTGCATTTGTTGTAATATTTATCAGATTTTTAAGTAACTGGAATTGCGGAGAGGAAATAGCAGGAAAGAAAACGTAGACTGAGGAAAGGAATTATTAAAGGGTAACTGACCTAAATTTTGTCGACCGTGGAAAATTATAAATGATGCCGTATTGTGTCATTAATGAGCGCGAAATGGGATTTTGTATCATGTTTGAAAGGTTTTTGGATTTGCTTAGTCGTTGTACTTATATTATGTAGTATAGATTTATAAATGTAAATGTAGTATAGATTTATAATAGTGTACCACAGGATATTTTAAAATGTACATTCTTTTGAGTACGTTATCGTAAGGAAAAGACTGAATTGTAATTGTGAAAAAAGTAACGTGCACATGCATACACACACACACACACACACACACACACACACACATATATATATATATATATATATATATATATATATATATATATATATATATATATATATATATATATATATGCAGACACATACATATAAATATACATGTATATATTTACACGTATATATATGTATATGTATATATTTACACGTATATATATGTATATGTATATATATACACGCATACATATATGTGTATGTATATAATATATATACATACATATATATATGTATGTATGTATGTATGTATGTATGTATGTATGTATGTATGTATATATATATATATATATATATATATATATATATATATATATATATATAATGACTGTGTGTCTGTGTCTGGATGCGTGCATATTGTGCTTGACTCGAATATACGTAAACAAAAGGGGAACGATAACAATGACATAGATAATGATAATATTAATGATACCGATAATGATGATGGTCACTGGTAGCTGACCGCTCTCTTCCCTTACGCCCACACCCCCCCTTCCTTAGCCCTCCTCCCCATTCTCACACCTTTCCCTTGCCCCCCCCCCCCCCCCCATCCCTCATGGAGCCACGACCTTGGCTCACACATTCCCCAGTGACCTTGTTGGTGGAAAGTTCCCCCCTCCTCCCCCGTCCCTTCCCTCCCTCCCCCGTCCCCCTTTTCCCCATGCTGTCTCCCCCTCCCCCCTTCCCTTCTTTCTCTCCATGCCGTCTCCCTCCCCCCCCCAACCTCCCCACCCACCGCGCCTGGGTTGAGGAGGTTTCGATGTAAACAAAGTCACTCAGGAACAGCATCGCCTCCAGTCATTTATGTTAATGGCAGCGGCGGCGGGCGTGGCGGGAGGCGCTGTGGCTTCAACGTGTGACTGGCTGGCTGGCTTGGAGTTCGCTTTTTTCTCGAAAGGAAGGACTTTCTTGGCAGTTGTTGAAGTTTTCTTTTTTCTACCTTTCTCTTTTGTTTCTTTTATATTTTGTATGTCTGTGATGCTACCTCTACTCTTTAGACTCTCACTTTCTTTCTCTCTCTCCCTCTCTCTCTCTCCCTCTCTCTCTCTCTCTCTCTCTCTCTCTCTCTCTCTCTCTCTCTCTCTCTCTCTCCCTCTCTCCCTCTCCCTCTCCCTCTCCCTCTTCCTCTCTCAATCTTTGAATTCATTTGATATTTGATATATTTGAGTGTTTGCTTACTGTCTCCATCATTATTCCACATGATGAAAACTAATAATTGCAGAGTTTACAGAGTTCTGATAAATAATACGATTGGTATAGTCAGTTTACAAGATTCCTTGAAGCGTGTTTCGAATATTGTTTCGAAAAAAATAAAAATCCTGTAGTAAGAGGTTTGGAAGCTTCACTCCCTCCGAACTTTATTTGTTGGCTGCACTTGTCGTTGTCTACAGACGGAAGACAGACCGAAAGGGCGGATGTGGAAGGCTGTTATAATCACACTTATTTCACCTGATCTGCCGCTCGTCTCTAATCGTTACGTTTGTGAAAGCGTCGTGGTTTCAGGGTTAAGATGAGATTGGTATTAAAGGTGATTTACAATCGTGTGTGTTGGTTTGGGAATAGTGTGTGTTTTTTTCTCGTTTTGTTCACTTGTTTGTGTAACTTTCTGTTGCTCTGCTTGAGTGTTAGGGTTTTCGTTTGTCTGGGTTCTTATATGTTGACTTGTTTCATGTCTGTGTCCGTTTTGTATAGCTCTGTCTGTATTATATGTTTGTATACCCTTAATTGCATTTTTTCTCTCTCCTCGCACTCTCCTCTCTTCTCCTCTCCTTGCCTCTCTCTTCCCCCCCCCCTCTTTTCTTCTCTCTCTCTCACCTCTCTTTCACATATATAAATATGTTTGTTTGTTTGCTTGTTTGTCCGTTTGTGTGTTATACACCCATGTATGAATATGATTCATCCCTTTTTGACTGCACTATTGCGCGCCGGTGGCAGCCATGTCACCTTCCCTCGTCGCAACACAACAACATCGACGGGAAAATCATAAATCATTTTGTTTATTGTTGCAATGGCCTTGCGTTAGGAGGGATGTATTGTGTTACTTCAGATTTGTTAATGATGACGATGACAATTATTTTCCATTCTAAGCAATGATGTCACTAGTTATACCATGACTTTGCTATGAATACAAATATCTTGGGATACTAAAAAAAACATCTTATAAATGCTATGGTCTTCAAAGATATAAAACATATTTTTATTTAAAAAGTATATACCTGGAAATCTAAAACAGTGAGTTTATTATGGTCAATAGTACGCCTCAGATGAATAACATTTCCCCATTACGGTACAATTCGTGCCGAGATTGCTAATATTTTGATCAAACGACAACGTTACTGTTAAACAGCCACAGTCGTGTTAGAAACCTAAACCAAAAAGTTTCTCCTCGTAAAAGATAAAGAGCGAATTCTCTGCAACAGTGATAAGCTTTGCATAGCAGTAATCTTGCACGCTTCTGAGGGAGGGAGGGGGGAGGGGGGGAAGGTAAGGTTGGAGGGAGGGAGGGAGGGAGGGAGGGGGGGATCAAGAAGTAATTAGAGGTGCATTTGCATCTCGTATTCGCGAAAGAATGGAATTGAGACTTTTGTTCCGTGTTGCGGTAGCTTTCTCTTCTTCCTTTTCTTCTTGTTCTTCCTCTCACAATGATAATGATAATTATAATAGTTATTATTGTTGTTGCTGGTGGTGGTATTTGCCATATTTTTTTTCAACATGTACTCCACTGCTGTCCTTCATTCTGTCTGTCATTCCTCTCTCCGTATTTTCTGCATCTTTCTCACTCACCCTTTCTCTCTCTCTCTCTCTCTCTCTCTCTCTCTCTCTCTCTCTCTCTCTCTCTCTCTCTCTCTCTCTCTCTCTCTCTCTCTCCCTCTCTCTCCCTCTCTCCCTCTCTCCTTCTCTCCCTCTCTCCCTCTCTCCCTCTCTCCCTCTCTCCCTCTCTCCCTCTCTCCCTCTCTCTCCCTCTCTCTCCCCCTCTCCCTCTCCCTCCCCCCATCTTAATTTTGTTCCACGTGCAGGTTATTAAGTAAAGATAAACACAGTGAAAATACACTTGACTAGTTCATGATAGGTCGACATTAAATATACGTGTCCCTTATAAGATATTAAAGATAAAACCCTCTTATCAATAAAATGAGGATGTTATCATCGAGTTGAGACCATGAGACGGTGGAATCTTTGAACCTAATTATCACAGCGCTGCAGACAGCTGGCGGGAGGATGAAGTTCGTACACTGATTGATAATCCAGAACGTAAATTTGATATGAATTAGTATTTCTCAACTCCCAGCGGGTGATTTAATTACGATCTTTAATAGAACTAGATCCTCTCGGCTGAAATTTGATCGTTGGTACGAGGAAGAAGGTCCAGATGAACACAAGCGAACAGAGACGTTCGAATTTGCGTGTCTGTGGCTCCGCTGGCTGTGCAACCGCAGCTTTAACTTGAGCCACCCTGTACTTTGTTGATTACGTCACTCTTCCTTAACGAGTGGTGAGGTAGTTGAGGCGTTCGTTCCCAGTAAGATTATTAAGGGAAGGGGAAGAGATTTAGAGGAAAATCAAAGGGGGTAAATGATCAGATATGGAGCTCTCGACGTCATGAAATCGCGTTCGGCACAAGAACGCATATGGAGGAACGGAGGACTATTGCAAACGTTTTTTTCCTATCAAAGTTAAGAAGAAAAACGTAAAGAAATTGCAATGATGATATTTATATATACAAGGGTAAACGCGTTAGGTTCAGTTAGTAGTTATACAAGGGTAATTGCAATCGGTTAAGATCCCGACAAAACAGGTCTGTAGTCTCTTCAAAACGCGTACTACAAGAATTCGAGACTTCCATCGTAATTCAGTCAAAGAAAACGCACGGGATTTTCAAACGGATACCAAAACAAACATCACAGTATACGTAAAGCAAACCGTATTAATATAAAATTACCGAATAAAGCGCCAAAAAGCCGTACGAGCATCGGATACAGGGAAATTTGGCCTCCGAAGCCGAGCTCTTGAAGGGGAACGACGGCGGCGCGAGTGTCATCGGCGCTTCAGTGTGAGTCTCGCGGGCGAAGAGAGCGGACGTACGACTTTGTGCTCCCATCCCGGCGGCGTGGCGAGCATAAGGCGTTTCCGGCGTGTAAGAAGAGTCCTGGATTATAGTGGTTGTGATTTCCGTGTGTGTGTGGAAAAAAGATAGAGGGGAGATAGTGGAAACAAAAAAAAAAGTTATATTTTGAAGAGATTCGATCGGGAGTGTCAGAATGCGCGACCGATTCCTGTGTCGTATTCGAGTGTGTCAAGTGTGTGTGTCACGGTGCGGGTGTCTCAGCGTGTCTTTGTGTCATGACGCCCGACACGGCCCAGAGTGATTCGGCGATGCACCGATTGCAAAAGGCAACACTTGCAACGAGAACCACCCCTTCCTTCCTCCTCCTTTTCACCCCTAAGCTTATTTTTCGAGGGGAAAAGGAGACTGAAATCGGCAGCGAAGAGAGGGGAAGAGGCAGCGGTGGTTCTTGCGGAGTGTTTTGCCTGCGCCAGTGCCCGCGATGGAAGGACAGTGCCAGTGGGAGTGCCAGGGCAGGGGATCAGGGACCAGACGGAAGAGTTGGGAGACAGTGTGCGGATGAGGAGAGGGGAGAGGAGGAGGAGGAGGAGGAGGGGTCTGGTTGAATCAATACTGACACCCCCCTCTCCCCCTCCTCCTCTTCCCCTCTCGGAAACCCTCTCTTCCCCCCTCCCCCCTCTCTGGAAACCCCTAGACTTTACTGTGTTCTATCGCGCTTTTTCTGCATTGCCATGAACATTTTCCTCGCAAAAGAATCATATTGTACAAACGTTCTCTTGCGCAATTAGGTCTTGATCAAACGTTTTGTGTAACGGCTGGCAAGGTTCAGAATGTATCGGGAAGGGAACGTTGTAAGAACCTGGGAATGTAGTCAGCCATTGTAAGGCTTTTGTTATAACGTGTTTTGATCGTGTTATGTGGGAAAGGGAGTTGAACACGGGCAGCGTTGAACCACGTTGTGATTACTTCTTGTTTTCGTGGAGGAGAGTGGGCGGGGCTGTGAACGGGAGGTGGATGGAGGAGATAGAGTAGTTGAGAAGTGAAGAAATTTGTGGTAAAGTAGGTCTATATATAACACGGGTTGTGCTGAACACCTCCGGACTTTAACGCACATAGATTGTTAAATAAATGTTTTTACATATACGCACACGTGTGCAAACACAACTAAAAAGACAAAGACACGCACACTTACACGCGCGCGCGCACACACACACACACACAGACACACACACACACGCACACGCACGCACGCACGCACGCACGCACGCACACACGCACAGATATCATACCAACTCTCTCTAACAACCATTTACAAGATACCAGGCCATAACAAAAACCATGTGGTTATGTTATGTTGTTACAACTGTTACGATCATAACTGGGGGGGGGGGTGACAGGTGTACATGAACATAGAAAATCCACATGAATGTTTGTCTCATCAGCTGATCTTTGTGACGTCACGCAATGGCGCTAGTTTGTGACACGTGGTGCAGTGTTCGATTTTTGTTATTGTTTGTTCTTGCTGTCTCCGTTATTTGTGGTAGGATTTGTGTCGTCACTTTCGTCATCACTACTAACAGTATCCTTCTCCTCATTATCATCATTACCATCACTTCCTCCTCCTCCTCCTCTTCTTCTTCTTCCTCCTCCTCCTCCTCCTCCTCCTCCTCTTCCTCCTCTTCCTCCTCTTCCTCCTCTTCCTCCTCTTCCTCCTCCTCCTCCTCCTCCTCTTCGTCCTCCTCCTCCTCTTCGTCCTCCTCCTCCTCTTCGTCCTCCTCCTCCTCTTCGTCCTCCTCCTCTTCCTCCTCCTCTTCCTCCTCCTCTTCTTCCTCCTCCTCCTCCTCTTCCTCTTCCTCCTCTTCCTCCTCTTCCTCCTCCTCTTCCTTCATCACCTCCTTCTCATCTTCCATCACCTCTTCCTCCTCCTCCCCCCCACCCCCCCTCCACCACCTCCACCATCATTGTTATTACCATTTTATTATTGTTCCTTTTTTGTCTTATAATTCTTTTTTATTTTATTGTCCCGCCACATGTCTTGACCTATTGTTACAAAATTATTATCAGAATCACAATGAACATTTGTACGAGATCATATCTCTATACTGTACCTTCTATTCTTGGGTACCATTCTTTATTACTGTTATTATCATTATCATCTCAACGCAACAATCTTGAAGGACAACCGACTGGAGAAACAAGACGTTGTATTGTCTCTTGATAAGATAATAACATTGATAATGGTTGTAATGATGATGATGATACAATGATGATGATGGTTGTGATAACGTTGGTAATAGTAATAGTGAGGATGATTGGTAATTTGAAAATGGTCGTGATAGGGATAATATAAATGGTAATTTGCGTTAATCATAATGGCAGTCGTATTAGCGATGGTAATATTTGTAAAAGTGAGGAGAATAACAATGATAGTAATGATTGTGGCAGCAAAATCAACGATATTGTTCCTGTTGATGAAATCATTGGTCATCAACGAATCATTCGTCCAGACAATGCATTAAGCTTATTATAAGAGTAATTAAAGTAATCTCATAGGCCTGCGTAAGTAATTTTGTGTGTGTGTGTGCGAGAGAGAGAGAGAGCGAGAGGGGGGGGGGAGATAATGAAAAGAAATGAAAAAAAATACAGACCGGCAGACTTCAGTTCCCAGTTCACCCACATAAGCCTAAATTTACGACTCCACTTGCATCCGTGTGCGTGAATAAAATTGTGAATATCAGCCCGTACATGATTATCATAGCCATCCGTCAGTCATTCACACGGCGCAGTGCATGGCCTTGGCTCGGCGGCGGAGCGCATGACACAATGTGGTGAGGCGGGTGTTGGTGCACGGGTGTCTGCCGCCGAACCTTCCGTCATGCAGTTGCGGGGAAATCCACGCTGCTATGTGCATGACTGTGGGTGTGGGTGTGGGTGTGGTATCGTCACATACATGCGTACATACGCACCTACATATAAACACCAGGAGTTATAGATATCACGCACACACACACACGCACGCACGCACGCACGCACACACACACACACACACACACACACACACACACACACACACACACACACACACACACACACACACACACACACGCACACGCACACGCACACACACTGTCACGCACTATATAAATATTTTCAAATAAAAGCGGGTAATTTTTGTCTCACGTTAACCAGTTCAGGAATGTCGGGGAAACTGGGCTGTGCAGAGTCATTTGTAACTTGATATGCTTAATGTTATTCATGCTGTGTTACTTTTCACTCTCTCTCTCTCTCTCTCTCTCTCTCTCTCTCTCTCTCTCTCTCTCTCTCTCTCTCTCTCTCTCTCTCTCTCTCTCTCTCTCACGTCCTCATTTCTCTCCAATCTCCTCCCTTTCCCCTCCCTCCCACCCACCCTTCCCCTCCCTCAAGCCACCCCCAATATTTCCTTCTTCCGTCTCCCTCTCTCCCTCGAGTCTGCCTGCCTATAGCTACGCCATGGTTGGCTTGGCATCAGAGTAGCAAGTAGACCAAGGTCTTAGGAAGAGAGAGGGGTGGGTGGGGGCAGGAGGAGAGAGGGGGTGGGTGGGGGCAGGAGGAGAGAGGGGGTGGGTGGGGGCAGGAGGAGAGATGGTGGGGGTGGGGGAAGAGGGGAGGTGGGGGAGTACTTGTTTTGTCCGGGGGGGGGGGTAGTGAATAGGGAGAGGGGTTTGGGGTTGGGGTAGGGGGGGGGTAGAATGGAGGCCGTTTCCTGTATGGCAACACCTTGCTGTAGGTTAGGATGTAGGATTGCGGCATTGGGCAGCGGCGAAGGATTGGGGGAAATCGAGAAATTGGGGAGAGAGAGATCGAGGTGGATAGGAAATTGGTAGGGGGAATGGGAGGGAGGGGAAGTGGGGAGAGGGGAGGGAAGGAGGGAGGGAGGGAGAGAGGGTTGGCGGAAAGTGAAGGGGAGGGAACAGGGAAAGAGGGAAGAAGGGGGAGAGGGGAGGGAGGAAGGAAGAGGTAGAGAGGTGAGGAAGGAAGGTGGGAGAAAGGATGGGGGAGAGAGAGAACGGAGAGGAAGGGAAAGAGGGGGAGTAGGGAAAGGGGAAGCGAGGAAGGGAAGGAACAGAGATCGAGCCAGCTAAGAAATAAACATGTATAAACAGAACGAAATGGGAAAGGAGGAGCGAGAGAAAGAAAGCTTCTCTTGGAGCCAGAGAAGCGAGGACCCCGCGCTGCCGCCGGGACAGCACGCGGATCCTTAGCAGGCTGTCGCTTTCGGGTCACCATGCGGGCGGGGGGGGGGGGGGGGGGGGCGCACAGTGACACAAATCGTGCATTGGACTGATGTTGCAGTATTTATGGGTGTCCGGAAGATTAAATGGTGCTGGAAATTAGAGGTGGGTGGAGATTCAAAGACTGACGAGGGGGAGGAAGTAGGGAAGGCGATGGGAGTGAATATGAGAATAAGAGGAGGCATGGGCACAGCGGCGTGCCCGGGCGGGGGTGTGGCCAGGGGGTAGGGACGTGGCCAGGGGGTAAGGGTGTGGCCGGGGGGTAGGGGCGTGACGGCTGGGAGGGGAGAGGGGGACACATTCCCAAGGCGGGTGAGGGCGGTGGGGGTGCTGCCTGAAGGGAGAGGGGGGGGGGGGGGGGGGGGGGGGGAGGGGAAGGAGAGGGAGTCTACTCTGAAGGGGATCGAGAAGAGATGGGGGGGGGGTGCTTGAAGGGGGTTGGGGGACGGGTGGAGGGAAGCGGGGTGTTGCCTGAAGGGGGCCGGGGGAAGGGGGGGAGGGGCGTGCCTGTAGGGGGTAACACGTGGTCGCCCGAGAGACGTCACTCGAGTCCCTGTTGCAGGTCGGCTTGAACTGCGCGGCTGCATTGGTTCGTGGGTTTCATTGTGAGGGAATTTATTCGTTTTTCATTTTATTTGTGGAAATGTTATTATTGATGTTATTGTTCTGATGTATTATTATTTGTATAACTTTTCCTGTTTACATTTCCTTTACAGCGCCTTTCATTTATTGTATATGTTTTTCCCCAACTGGTTTTCTTTTCCAACTAAACAAAAAATATTTTGCTCGTTCATTCTC